TTAATTTAGCCACCACTGTCAGGCCCTCTGCTCTGGCCTTGCCTCTGCCCCCGCCACTGCCCATTCCACTTGTTTACTTATTTCACTTTCGTCAGCCGCAGTTAGTAACCAATTAGTCTGCTCTAACGTCTGTTGCTTATCTGCGATCTGTGTGTTTTCTCTGTATCTTCTTCCTCTTCTCAAAAACATCATTTACACCTGTTTGCAGCATGCGCGATAAGTTTTCCCTTTGCTTGGAGTCTGTTGGCCTCAGCTCTCTGTGCACATAACGGTATTTACCTTGCTCCGACGAACAGCGCGACGTGGAGGCCGATGAGCTGGCCGACAGCATGCCACATATATCCGTTTGCACAGCGACATTTATTTTGGACATGACTGTCGCCGGCTGAGCTCGCTCTAGCACTAGAACTCTCTATTGTGCGCTCTCGCTCGCTCCTACTAACTCCTGGCCACCCTTTGCAGTGACCCACTTAAGGTTGCTCAGCCAGCCGGCTCTTTTGTACGCCAGGCGGCGCCACTTGAAATCAATTTTCGAAATAAATTTGCGTTTTAAGCATTTCAATTGATTTTTTATAGTTGAGCGCGGGGCGTTGCTTTGTTGAAGATTTGTTTACACGCTGTGCGCTGACCTCGAAAAGTTGGGAAACTCGTCGAGTAAACAAAAAGAAAAACACTGAAAATGCCAATGCCAAGCACACGATGCGCTCTTATAATTCACTCTTATACACTCTTATACGCAAGGCAAACACGCGAAACACGCGACTTTCATGAATGGGTGGCAAATGTTTGGCGAGAATTATTGAAATTTTGAGATTTTTAGTTGTTGTTGCTATCACAGTTGAATTTATTATTTAGTTTAATGGAAATGAGATTTTCGTTTTCGTAGAAAAACAATTGTGCGAGTTCTTACAGCGCGCGGAAGCACAGTAAATTACAGTTAAAAGCAAATACAACAACGTCGCAGGCGAACACGAAGACGACGTCGACGATGACGACGGAAGCAGAACCGCTTGGAACGCACGCTGAAAATGAACTGAGACGGCGATGTTTCAATCGTTTTTGGCGCAGCAGCTTTCAGGTAGACGACAAAAAGCGTGCGAAGGAGAGAAGTAGCGACGAAAGAGATGAAGAGAGAGAGGCAAACGGCTGAGCGCTCTGCGGTTAACTTTTGAACTTGGCTTGACACATACTTATGTATGCGTGTATGCTCTGCTCTGCATATTGAAACACATACATATGAATGCACACGTATGTGTGCGTGCGCATGCGTCAAAATGTATGCAGAGAGCGACGACGTCATTTTCAAAAAAAACAGATGATACGCTATGATAGCAGCTACAACAATAGCAAGTGACGGCGACAAAACAGCTACACACACACATACAATATACAGAAGCTACGAGCTACAGTTGGAGAGTCACAGTCAGAGCTTAATACGTAAAATTCAAGACGCCACCTGGCGCCCTTTGTCATTAATTACCTACATAAATAAATTCATTGGCTTCACAGTTTTCGAGCTGTTGGCAATATTTCAACAACATTTTTTCAATAAATTAAGCAAAATGACGTCAGCTGGCAACGTGGGATTTTGCTCTTGGTGAGGGTCAAAGCAGCGTTTGATCTTAATGCGCATAATTCTAAGCAAATTTATCACAAACTACATATGTATATAAATATCTATATTGCTAGTCAGTTTGAGAGGCATGTACAATACTAAGAGACTGCATAGCTTAGCACAGTCGCTCCACAACTGTAAAGGGCTGCTGTCTTATATACTAAATGAATGTACTTTCGAGTATAAGAGTGCGTGTGGCCCATAAACCGCTATTTGTGCGACAATTTAAATACAATTAGTTAAGATCAAAGAAGAAATAAACTAAAAATTAATTTTGGTTAAACATTTGACAAAAACACAAGCATAAACGAAACAATTACACCAAATTAATATTAAATTTAAATATGTATATATAAATATATGAATACGCTAGACGTAAGGTACAGCAGACTAGAACAGTTTGAAATGCACTGGTGTTTCTTTTTCTTCATATAAAAATGATTAGTTTTTATTTGCCAAAAAATTATGCAAAAAAATAAATATTTTTTCACTTTAAATTAGATTAAAACAAATGCAAATTAAATTCGATGCAAAATGCGTTTTGTCAAATGCAAAAACAAAATTTTTCCAAAAAAAATAATTACAAAAAAAGATGTAAAAAAATAATAAAAATAATCATAATAATAATAATACAAAATTCATTCGCTTGGCAAAAGTTTGATAAGGCACAGGGCAGGTTTGAGAGCAACTGGTCGCTCATTTCTTAGCTCTTAGAGCAGCCCACGAAACCCAGCGAAGAGACGCTCCAGCCGCCCCATGGGCCGATTGACCAGCGCATAGAGCGTCCGCAGCGTCCCGGCCAGAAATCGATAGAGCGTGAAGTGCTCCAGCAAATTGCCAACATCCAAAACAAAGTCAATCAATCGGGCCACAAATCGCGTTATGGGCGCACACTTGCACTCGACTATGGGCATGGGCGTGGCAGCAGCAGCAGCGGCAGCGACAGTAACAGCATTTTGATGTCCAGTTGCAGTTGCAGTTGCGATTAGCCGACAGCCTGGCGGCAAGGACTCACCTTTTGTCTGGCCGGCGCACTGAGTCGAAAGCACTGTGCCAGGCGGACCCCTCAGCACGGCCTCCAAGCAGCGTATATTGTCACGGCAAGTATTAATGATCTCGTTCTGGATGGGAGAGAGAGAAGAGAGAAATATTAGTAAAGGTTGATTAGAGAGTGGAAGATGTTCTACCTTATATATGAGTCAATTTTGAACTAATGACACTTAAATGATTTTCGATTAATCTTAGAAATCTCATTTACTTATAGTTAATGTAAGCTTGAGCCCTTGCTCTCATATCTCAACTAGATTTAGCTTTGCTTGAGATTATGCTGACAAAGTTTAACTAGACATTAGAAACTCTATAGTCCCTTTCTAGTAAGAGTTCAATGAGCAACTGAATAAGTTATGAAAGGAGTGTGTCTACCTATAAACTCCTATGAACTCTATACCTCTACAGCATATAGCTTTCATTTACAATACATATACATTACATACATAAATCTCATCTATAATATATAAATTCACGTCGACCACAATCGCAAAGAACTGTTGCTTTGCGCTTAGTTATATAAATATACAAATTTAGTCCAAGGTAAATAAGACTATTTTCACAGAATACTACTGCAGGTGCTTGCATCCCCAGCCTGCTTCTCAAATTTCTTGCTCTCTGTATACATCTCGTCTCATTCCCTGCATTCAACTTACATAATCCTCTGGTCTCAGCAGATGACAGCGTATCTTGAGGGCGCGCGTGTCCTCGAGCCTGTCCTTGCTCTGCTGCAGCAGCGAGCGCATCTCCTGCTCGCCATCCTCGGAGTCATCGCCGCTGGACGAGGACGTGGCCGGAATGACCTTGATGCACTTCTCCAGGTTGCGAGAGGAGCGTCGGCGCTCATCCGCCGTCACGGTGCGACGGCGTCGGGTCGAGGTGTCGCTCTCCGAGGTGCGGCGCAGCAGCGATTGAGCCGAGTGGCTCATCGAGCCACCGAACTCCAGTTTACGACCCACCGAATCGGTGCGAGCGGGCAGCTGAGCCGACGCAGAGTTCTTGGGCGTCATCAGCGCCGTGGCCGAGGAGGAGAGATTTGCAGTGGTTGCCTGGTGCTGCTCCCGTTGCTGCTGCAGCTGCTCCTGCTGGGAGCTGATTGCATCGGCCATGTCTGCAATATATGAGAGCATTAGAGTTTGATGTGCCGATAAATATACCCTGTAGCTGCACCTACCTTGACAGGACTTGCGTCGCACTTCGAGCGTCTTGCGACGTCGCTCGTACTGCAGCTCGAGGGCGCGCTGGCGACGCGCGTGGTCGACGCTGCTGCTGATTGTCTCCTGGTTGATGTGCAGCGCCTTCAGCTCGTGCTGCTGCAGCGAGTCCATGCGCGGCGGCGAAAACGAGTCCAAGTTGTTGGCAGCCGACAGCGAACTGCAGCAGTCCGACTGCGAGTCGATGAAATTGCTAGAAGACCACAAATCAAATCGAAAAGTTCAAATTATAGCACGAAATCACATATGAGATGAGATCTATAAATAGAGCTTGGCTACCCACCGATAGTCGTCCCCGAATTCCAACAGACGACGCGCTGCATCCGAGTCCAAGCCCTCCGAGTAGTTCTCTGAGTTGTATTTCTCTTGGTAGTTGTCCCAAGCAGTCTCCGAGATGCTGCTGTGATGCTCCTCAGTGCTCAGCTCTGTTGGGAGACACAAATGCATATCAGTATATATATTCGATAACAATTTTACAGGGTATACAACAGGGTCGTTTCGGGTGCAGTTTGCGGTACCTTTTGGCCTGGGTGCGAGCGTGCGAGCTTGCGTAAGAGAAACGTATACAATAGATAGACAGAAAAGTATTTTAAGAGCTGAGTGTGTGTGCGCCTTTTGAATGTTATTGAAACGATTTAGAGTGGCATTAAAGCAATGTATATATACACATATATATTTATGAATGAATATATATACATAGTGCTTTCCATATGGTCTACCAGCATGTGCAATTCATTAAGTTCGCTCACCTAGCTCTAATCTTAAACGTTGCGATGCTAACTTGGCTTAAATTTGAACTATGCTAACTATACTTCCATTATTTCTGAGCTTTATCTATATGTTATGGCTATATATAAACAGACACAGATCTATATTTTCACCCAGAGATCTATATTTTATGTACTATATTTATTGATAAGCAACCAAATTCTATAATTTCCTCCAAGTCTATAAATTTGTAAGGTCTTTAAGGTCTGTCCTGATAGTGAATAATATCTTATCGTTCACTACTCAAATTTTATATATATAAATACTCGTAATATATATAAACAAGAAATGATATCTGTGCTCAAAATACCCTGCCAGACACACCTAATATTCCGATTGATATGGTTTATAGAGATATGTCTGACGAATAGTAAAGACCGTAATTTTAATATGATTGAAATATCCTCCAAAAGCTAGGAACAAAGTTTCATACGACTAAAATAAAAAGTCCCAACTTTCTTCTCTTTAATGCGTAGTTGAGCGATCACAGAATATTATTTTTCACTTCACTTCACTTCACTTTTGATCCCCACAGGTCCTGGGCGACTGAATAAATGCTGCAACTGCTGCCCATTATATAGGGCGATTCTCACTCACGCCTGACTCGCGCTCAACCGATGAGCCCGACGTCGATCGCTGCAGTCGACCTTTAGGCTCTGCTGCTGCACTCTCAAGCATAAATACCTAATGAGAGCTTCTGCATACATGCAGATGATCTATATATATAGGGCTCTTCTTCGGTACCAGGTAGCGATCGTTGCAGGTGACCAATGGGAGCGCTCTCTGCTGCTGCGAGCATTCTAACTTCCGGCAGCAGCAGGAGCCGGCAGCAGAAGACATCGTTTCAGTAGCATTCAAGCGCATTCTAGTGTTAAAGAGATAACCACTCGATTCAGACCCACCCTGGCAGCGCCACTCACCTGCTTGCTGCTCATCCTCGTGCATGTAGTTGGAGAGGGCGGCGAGTGCGCCCAGGCGAATCTCGCTGGCCCTTAGGGCGGCTGTGGTGAAGGAGCCGACGCGGAATTTGGGCACCATCAGCTGCGACTCCGAGTCGGCCTCGGGCGCGGGCTCGTCCTTGGTGGGACTGACCTTCTGTATGCTGAGCAAAGCATTTGTGAACTCCTGCAGCTGCTGCGAGGACATCGACTCGCACGACTTCATCAGCGTTTGGGTCAGATCTCCGGGTGCCTCCGAGCCCGAGTCGGACTTCTTGCCCGCCGAGGCGGCGGACATGCGCTTCTTGCGTGCCCTGCGGCGACGCAGTGAGCCCTTGCTGTCGGCCTTCCTGGCCGCATTGCTGCCCGTGCCCGAGGAGGAGGCAGTGCGAGCACGCGGACCTGGCGACAGCGAGTCCAGAGCGCTCTCGCTAATCGAGTGACTGGCCAGCCCCGTGCCAGGCGAGCTCTGGCCGACGGCCGTGATGGCTGTGGTCAGCTGGGCGGCATCGGTGGTCAACTGCGACAGGCAGGAGACGCTCCATGGACGCTCCGACTTGCGACGCGTCTGCGTGCGCTTCACGATCTTCACATTCAAGCTCTGGTTGCTGCTGCCGAAGCCAAGCGGCGTGGCCGGCTGGTGGATGGGCTCGGCCGAGCCGCCAATGCGCTCCGTCGAATTGCCGTACGAGTTGGTGCTCGTCTGCATGCAAGTGGCAATGGAGTCGGTGAAGCCCTCCGAGGAGTCCGAGTTGGCCCCACAAACAAGATTCGTCTGGGGCATGGAGTCCGTTTCGCTCGCCTCACCCGAAGCCTCGCAGTCGTCCGGCTTGATGGGCAACTCCAGATGATTGCGATTCAGCAGCTGGGGCGTGGAGGGCTGATGCTCCAGCCATTCCTGGAAAGAGTTTCAATTGACATGATTAGACTGCATTTCGCGTTGAGCTATGCCATTCACTTACCTCGACGCGCTGCTTGATGGGTCCCGGCATTTGGAGTTCGCGTTTCTTGACCGTCGACGAGATTTTGATGATGGAATGTTTCTGCTTCGTTGGCGTCTTCAACGATGACTCCTGAGCGTCGCGCACCAAATGCTCCGCTTCGAGCACAAGCTGCTTGATTGAATCATGCGAGACCTTGCCCTAAACAAAAGAGAAAGAGAGTGAGAGAGAGAGAGAGAGTGAGTGAGAGAGTTAGTTAATGAGCATAGCGAATTGTAGAGTGAAAGAAACAATTGAGTGTAAATTGAGGGCGTATGAGGAAGTGCTGTTAACAGCTTGACGAGTTGTAAAGTAGAGAGAGAGACAGAGATGGGAGAGAGAGAGCTCTCTAGACTGTGAGGTTGTTGCCTTATCAGCGTGTTCTCCGAACTGCAGCAGCTAGTTTCAATGGGTTGATTCGGCCTATCGCTCACTCAGCTCACTTCTCTGTGGCTGTTCATTAGTGTTATTCATTGCATTCGTTAGTACAGTCACTCACACTTCCTATACACTCACTCACTGGCTATATCATTTCTTATCTTCGATTTCTATTTGCATTTTCTTTCTTTTTTTTAGCACTCTTATCTGGTTGCTGTTGCTGTTCTGTCTTTGTGCCTCAATTAAGTGAATCAAGGCCTTGCCAAATTGTAATTGTACCCGCAACTGATGTCACTTCGCATACCCTGTAATTACTTCAAAATTAGATGAATGCTTAGTTGAGTCGGCTTTTGCTTCTAGACAATTACACGATTTATTTAAGCAGTCATCCTATATAACATTTCGATATCTAGAGTTAGAAGAGAAATGAGTTATGTACCTTATTCATTTAACTAGACTTTTTTCTTGCTTCGTCATTTGATTTATATTGGTGCCTATCAATTCATTAGACTTTGTTATCGATCAATTAATTCCAAGTAATTTTTGAATGGTGAGAATGAGTTCAAAGTTGCATATCGTATCAATGCGTAGATTGTTCGCCAAAAGTTTTATGCAAATTAAGTTAAACCTACAACTTTTCGATTTATGTGGTTGCATTATCGATACACCGATAGCTAATACTCATCGACAACGTTCAAGTCAAGCAAAGGCTAATATGACAATCAACAGTAATCTGATTCGAAACGTTCAAGCATTGAAATGGTATATAATTAATAGAAAAAACTGTTGTCTTCTAGTGTGCACACAAAGAAACGTTGGGTAAACAAATCCAAAATGTAAATTTGACAAAATCTATTCGATTGCTCAACCAATTAGAACTTTGCAAGACAAAAATAGAAAAAGCCAGCGAAGCGTTGATAATGTTTGAACACATTTTCAGTTATTTTGTTGTTGTTGTTGCCCAACTAACTCGAAAACAAAGGCAAATGTTCGCGTTAACCTTTTTACAAAGAGACATTAAAAGTTAATGTTTAATTGCAAATTGTTTAGGTGTGTGTGTGCCTGTGTGTGTGTATGTGTGTATGTGTGTGTGTGAGTTGCACAATTGAACAATTCCAAGGTAGATTTTATAGGTTGGCTTTCAGCAGACTAAAAGTGACTCAGTTCGAGTTTCAGATAGATATACCCATGCACACATACACACACACACATATGCATATATATGTATATCTGCATGTACATATTCACATTTGACAAGTTTATCTCGAGTCTTTTCGTATCACACTCTCTCACACTGAAAGTCAAGCTGTGTGTCGTCTGTGTTGAACACACGCTTCAACTTTATTGCTAATCTTTTGGCTTAATTTAATTAACAGTTTCCTGTGGACAGGCCACTCCAAACAGTTTGAGCAGCACTCCGGCTGTCAAACTGCGCGCCGCGCTGCAAACGGAAACAATTTGAACCAAATGTGCAAATGCTGAACGTTTTACGGAGTTGCAGCAGCAGCAACGACAGCAGCAACAGCTGCTGCAAGCGGCACTAAAAACCAACAGCAACAACAGCAACAATTGAAAGGCCTCTGCGATTGGGCGTTTGCGATAATTAAAGGCAATTATATGGAGTTTGGCTTTTTGCTTAGCCATTGGCCAATTAAGCGAACAAACTGGAAACTTTGCTCAACTAAGGCTGGCAGCTCTTGGGGCACCGAGAAACATATATGTGTGTGTAGTAAACGATAGTCAAACGATAGTGGACAGTAGAGTCTGTAGAGATTCTAGGGAGTGCTTTTAGACTTACGCTAAAGTCTTTAACTATTATTATGTAGACGATAGTTAAGCGGTAACTGAACGATAGTTTTTATTGTAGTTGTAGAGTTTTATTACACTTATTGCAACTCTTAAACTTTTACGATAGTTCTTTACGGTCTTAAATAAGCTCAAGGAATCTTATTTCAATGAAAACACATTACAGAAACCAAAGCCGAGTATTTAAATTATATTTAACTTGTATGCGATAGTGTCCGATTAGTCATACGATAGTTTAACTCACAGCAGAGCATCCTTATTATTAATTTAATAATATAAATTGATGCACATAACTTACTAAATTGATATTCACAATTCTTTGTTTAGCAATTTTAGTTTTAGTTGCTCACGCTGTCATCTCTAGGGCGGCTTTAGTGAACACAGTGGCTGGCAAACTGTTGAAATGTCTGCAGACAGCTCAAGCTTAAATTTAATTTAGTTTTTTTTTTTATGTTTTTTTGGCAGCCTTGACAATCGTCGTTTGGCCAATTTAATTGCACTGCGGCACGCAGCTCGCAAATCGCGAAAAATAATCGCGCAGTTTGACAAGCACTGCGCGCACTTAATTACACAAAAAAAGAAACACACACATACATACACTCTCGCAATTTGAAATGCAAATTACGCAAAAGAAATCGGACAACAAGTTAACAATAAAAACAATAACAATAACAATAACAATTGCGATTGTAGCTAAACTAATGCAGCTTAGCTTTGTGGCTTTCTATTGTTTTGTTGCTTTTTGTAACAGTGTATCTATGCAATTGTATCTATTGTAGCTGTATCTGCATTTGTATCTGTATCTGTATCTGTATCTGTAGCACAACCGGCGTCTATGACTCTGCGAAACGTACTGAAAGTTTTGCCAGCGAATATTTTAGCTGATAATGATTTTTGCACACTGCAACGAGATTAGATAAAAAAGCTGTCATAAAAACTATCGACTCGCTGTGATCGATCAGCGTGTGTCATCGATAACTGTGCAGCCTTTGTTGCTCACAATTTCTAATGTGATTTTAGCTTTCTTTTAATTTTTGTTAACAACTCAATTCGAGCGGCTCGATGCGATAAGATTAGATTAGTTTAGTTCGATTTTAGCTCAGTGTACGTCATTGATGTTCGCCTTTATCAGGCCGCGAGCTCGATTGCTTATCGCACATAAATTAAACCAATACAAATACATAAATGTTATATATATAAATAAATCTCAACTTGCGAAATTTGTCAATATTAATCAAAGCGACGCGAATTTCACTCTCAATAAATCAACGCACGCAACGGAGGGGAGGAAACTCTGGAGATGTCGCTGCCTGAGGGACAGTGAAAACAGTGCGTGCGATGGAGCTCTGGCTGGCGCTGGAGCTGGAGCTACGACTGAGCAGAGCTCAGCCATTGCAATCGAGTTGTCAGCGACAAATGCAAATGACGCACACACACACACACACACATAAACACACGTAAAGAGAGACGCGCAACATGTTGCTGATGTCTGGCCAAATAAAAGTGAGAGTTGAGCAGCAGCAACAACAACAAGTGGAGATTTGCCCATGTCCAGCCAGTTAATAATTGCTTCAATAACAACCAAAGAGCAGGCACACGACACACTATGAGAAGCGCGAAGAGAGGTGTTTATGGAGGGCTTGCTTTACGATGTAGATGAGAAGCGTATAGAAGAGGTCTTTATGGAGCGTTTGTTTGAAGGAAATGCACATAAATTCATGATTAACTCCCAGAGAGAAGCTGAGCTATATAAAACATGTGTGAAACAGAGCTATGAAGTTCTAAAGCGGATGTCGTTGGCTGTCTAGCACACGAAAGTAGTGTTGCTTCTGGCTAGAGCTGTTTGCTATAATTGCATATTTTACTTACAATAGTAAAAATTGATTGAGCATCGTTAAAACTAACAAAATAAATATATTTGCAGTTTCCTCAATTATGATTTTCAGCTGCAAGAGTTCATTTTAATGGCCTTCAAGCGGGATTTAACTGATTTGTCATGCTTAATCTGATAAGTTATTGCAATGTGTTGGACTTTTTTAGATATTCGCACCATCATCTCTTATTAACTTTTAACTACTGCGTGATTGATCAGCTGAGAGCTGAGTGAGTGAAGATTGGATACGAAACAAGATCGTAAATAAGTGTATGATTAATGAAAACAAGTAAGACTGTTCTGGTAGGGAATGCTTTACTAAGGATGACCCTGATTCATATACAGATCTACTTTTCTTACGAGATCTGCCACGTCTTCTCCTGCCTTCTGCAATGACTTCCATGATTTCACATGACGATATGCCTATTCAGTAAACATTAATTAACTACAATTTCCACAATATATATTTCGCAACTTTTTCAACCAGCTCAGCAGAGATCAACAGCTAACAAATTGTTTGGCCAATTTGGCAACTATTTCCGAGACATTTTCCACTTTGCTTTCATTTTGCCAAACATTTGCAACACTCGACAGTTGGCGGCCCTTTGATTTCCACCCGCTGATTTTCACAAAAATAACTTCGATGAGTCTCTCGCATTACAAAGATGATCGTTTACGGCCCATTACAGCGCGGCAACTTGTCATTGGACATGTTTGCTGGACGTGTTTACCAGCAAATTGACACGAAAAAGCCACAAAAAGAGCTTAGAGAAATTCGAGGCGAATTCAGGCAGACACACGCACCGCTGGACCACTGGACCACCGCACCGATTGTCGGACCACCAACAAAGTGGTTCAACTGTATCGATCGAATCGATCCCAGTTCGCAGCTCGTGTGCATTTCAAGCGAAACTGAAACCATGAGAGCCCAACTTAACAACAACAACAACAACAAAGAGGAGCCGTCGAACCGTTATACATAATGCCAGAGCAGAGCAGAGGTCCAGCTCAGCTTAGTTCAGCTCTCCCTCCAGGCTCTCGAGCGATCATGGTCACGGTTGTGCGAACGCGCGACACGCAATGTCTCCGACTCGGCGCGGCGCGGTTGCCACAACAAGATGACAAATTGCAAAGTACCGTGAATCTATATATTTATCTCTTATAGTGTGGCGATGAAAGGGAAAACACAGCGCACTCGAGTTGTGGGCAGTGTACACTGAGAGAAACTGAATGCGAGTTGCAGTTACAAGGCGAGAATTGCATAGAGAAAAAGACACTTTGATTGGAAAAGAAGCTGCCTCAAGAAGAGAGAGAGACTCGATGAAGGGAAATGCGCTATAGAGTTGTGGGCAGGCTACACTGAGAGAAAAATTATCAACTTTATAGTTGTAGAAGATGAGAGCTGAAATATATGTATGTAGATAGAAGCAGAAGTAGGTCTCGCTGTGGGGACTATGGGGGTAGAGAGAGCACCACTCTATGCTTTTCACTGTGTCTCAACTTAATATAAATCAAAATGGCTTTGGTCAGCGTGTGAATTAGAGAAAGCCACGAAGAAGACATTCGTTCCTCTAGCTGCGACTGGATACAAACGAAGCGCAGGAAGTGTTTCCGCTTCCTTTGCCAATGACAAATGCTCAACGCAAAGGGGAAGAGTCGAAGAAAGAGATAGAGAGAGTTAGACTAAGCTCTTGACTTACCTTCGTTGGCGACATAGTCGCATTGCTGCTGCTCGCCAGCGATTTGCCGGATTTGGCCGACTTGGCGGACTTGGCAGGCGATCGAGGCGGCAGTCGACTGCCTCCGTTCTGCTGGGCAGTTGGACTCGAGTTGCCATTGGTCATGTCGCTGGGCCAAACGCTGATGTTGCAAATATCTGCGCGACTGTAGAAACTGCTGTTATTGTTGTTGTTGTTGTTGTGGCATAGCAGCTGTAAAGGTAACCAAAAAGTTGTTTTAATTAAGGTTGTCAGGCAAAGCGAATGCCTCTGCCTCATAATCAATCAGCCATTTCCTGCTCCTGCTGCTGCTGCTGCTGCTGCCTTTGCTTCGTGTTGCATGGCTCTATTACAATGTGCCTGCCACCAATATATCCATAAATCTGGCCCGGTCGAACGTGTCCTCGTTGCAGCAGCACTAGCAGCAGCAGCAGCACCGTCTGTCCTCTGTCTCAACTGTCTCGCTGTGGACCCTTTCAATTGCACAAACTATTTGCCAAGTTTCTTTTCCATCTATACCCTGTACTTATATGAAATGCAGGCAATCGGCACAGTGGCTAATCTAAGTTAAGCTATAGCAGAAGGAGAGGCAGAGCATCTCAATGTTATTCCTCATGAATTCCTTACACTTGCTGCATCAAAAGGGTATCTTTGCGCCAGTCACTCCCGACTGGAGCACTCGCTCGTCTTGAGTTGCCTTTGTTTCTTTATAGTTTCGTATGCCGCAATGAAGAAATAAATCACACGTTTTTAGTTAATTTCGTACTTTCCCATTTTTGACGTGCGCTGCTCAGTTTTTCCTGGACTATCGCCAGCTCTGACTGACTGTCCGTCCGTCTGTCTGTCCGTTTGCCTGCCTAGCTGACTGACTGACAGTCAGAGCAGCCCAGCAGCGGCAGCAGTCGGGAGTCGATAGTCGGGCATCAATTTTGAATGGCAGCTGCTGCCGGGACGGGAGTCGATCGCGCAGCGGCTGCATGATTCGCTTTCATTAACCCAACTGCTTAATCATCAGGTGCAGGGGTAACCAGAAGGCAGCGCAGTAGGAAAAAGAGGCGGTAGCCATTTATTGAAAAGCAGCCTCTACTCTACTCACCCCGCCGCCCTAGCCAGCCGCCTCCTGCCCCCAGCCCTCTTAAACTACTCGCTTTTGGGCTAATGGCAAACAAAGTTGCAACCAACAACCAACAAAGCAGCAACTTTATTGACACAAGTCAACGAGTGAGACAGAGAGAGAGAGAGGAGAGTGAGAGGGAGATGGGGAGAGACTCCACTTGACAGACAGACAGCAAGTCAGCGATCGAATCGAAATCGAATGCAACTCAAACTCAAACTCCAGCGGAAAGGTCCGAGACTGTGGGAACCTGTGTGGCACGTTGCTGCTGCACGTTGCTGTCTGCCTTCTGCGATTTGTATTTGCGAATTTTGAAATTTTTGTGGTCTATACATAAATGGTTAGGGCATAACAACACTCGAGTTCTCAGCCCAGCTCTTGTCTTATTAGCCAGCTCCATGTGGCAGGCTATTAGCAAATAAATGAACGGATGAAAGATTAAAGTTAAATCAACTCTCGTTATGGTAATGAACATCATGCCACCAATTGACATTCAGCTTCAAGCTGTGCAGCTGCGGGAGATATTGCCAACTATATTGCGATAGTGTTTAGTTTGTCTAGTTATGGCTAGAACAACTAGGTATCCTACTGCTAAACTGATGAATCCTAAGCATATTGCTAGTTGCTAAAGAGCGTTAAGTATAACTGGGATTGCTAAGGCCTTAGACTTGGTCAGTCTAAACGATAGGTCAGCTGATCTCTCTAAAAGTTATTCTCTCATTTTCCTATAGTATTCCTATTCCATCTGTTATCACCTGGTAGTGGCAACCAGTTTAGCTGTAATAGAAGACCTTTTTCATCTCCTCTTATGGCAGTGACTATCTCCATCTCTATCTCTTGTCATGTAACACTCCATCTTCATTTATATTTATACGCATATATTTTCTGCTAGTCAATTTAATATAGATAATATTGGCTCAATTCAACTCTCGGACTCGCTCTACTCACCAGTGCTGCATTTCCATTTGTGTTATCAGCAACAGTTGCCTCGGCAGCGTTCTCCAGATTCAGCTTCAGTTGCTGTTGCAGTTGCTTAGAGTCAAAGCGCAACTGTTGTTGTTGTTGTTGTTGTTTGTGATTATTGTTGTTGGCATTCAGTTGCTGCTGCTGCTGCTGAGGGGTGTTGTTGTTGTCGCTGTCGCACTGCATTTGTTTGTAGCAATTGTTGCTAATGATGTGTCTCATGTTGCTGTTGCTGTTGCTGCCATCGCTGGCGCTGCCATTGATTTGAAACTGAATGTCCATGTCGACAACGCTGCGCTGCATTTGGGTAACCCGTGAGGTGGCCGAGGTCTCCGTATGGACACCGTTCGAATTGGACGAGGAGCAGGCGCTGCTGCTGTCGTAGTTGCTGCTGCTGCCGCCGACAGCAACAACAGTTGCGATTATTGATGCTGCTGTTGTTGTTGCTGCGGCTGCTGCTGTTGCTGTTGCTGTTGCCGACGTGGTCAACAGCAACTCCTTGTTCTCCTTATCAGAGTCGTCGCTGACTCCAGCAACGGCGCCAGACGTTGTCGATGAGATGGCAGCCGACTGCAGACCATCGACGGTGGATGTTGCTGCTGCAGCCGTAACAGTTGCCGCTGCGCCCGTTGCTGCCGTGTAGAGCCAACCCTCGTCGTCGTCATCCGATGAGGCATCAGCCGATTTCAGTATCTAAAGGAAGGTTCAAGCAAAAACTCAGTATGCCGTACACAAATGAAGCAGAAGCAGAAGCAAAAGCAAAAACTGTGTGGGCCCACGTCAGAGCTGCAGGCTTCAACTGTGGCTCTGACTGTGGCACAGCGCGATGAAGATGAAGTAGTAGAAAATGAAGTTTAATTAGCGTTACTTGCGCAAAATGGCAAATTGTAACTTGCAGTCACAGCAACAGCGCCAGCAACACCAACAATTGCAGCTACAAATTGTTGTTGCTGCTGCTGAGTGGCAAAAATCTTTTGAGCTCGCCTCAAATGCCGGTTGGTTGCCTCTGCCGGCGCGGCCATGGCTCGCTGCGACCTCTGCCAGAGTAGGAGTTGCCGCCGTGCCGCCCTCTAAAACAAATGGCTGGCTGTTGCTGCTGCTGCTGCTGCAGTTGTTGCTGTTGCTGTTGTCGTTTTCTCTGTTTGCAATTTATATTAATGCTGTGACGTTTCGTTTGGTTTGTCTTGGTGACCTTAGGCTTTGCATGCAGCCAATGCACTCATCACTTGGCTTACGGCTCGGAGGAGCAAAGAGCAACAGCAACAGCAAACGGCAACAGCAGCTGTTGCAGGAGCTGCGGCAGCAACAGGTGGGCAGAGGTCCCAGCTACATCGACTCCCACTTGTCATTCGAATAAATGGATTTCATTTGTATTAAATTAATTTCTAAAATCCTCAAGCAAAACTTTTCAATTAAGAAAACTGGAAAGTTCTATCAAGAAAAGCTACATAGAAGTCTTTCTGAAACTTGTGATATAATTTTACATAAGCTTATTTTCTTTTCTTCACTCTAACTAATATGCTCTACTATAACGTAAATAGATAGTATTATCTCCATCTCAGGGATCCCTCATAGATCGCTGCACTAACGAGCAGTCTATAAGTTCTAACTTGTTGCCATCAGCTTCTTCAGTTGCCCAAAGGTTTAGGTCATTTATATAATTAATCAATTTCTATGCCTTGATTAGGTAACCTAGCTCAACTTTGCACCAAGTAAACTTTCATTATGAACTCAAAGCTCAAGTTCATGGAAAAAGCAGACAAATAGAAAACACGGAACTACATATATGGAAGAGGCTAAAGAACTGGCTGAACTCTGACATGAGTCGACTAACTATAGCCCCCCAGGCGCGGGCTGAAAGTCGTTTAATGATTAATGATTAATGATGTAGCATTATTATGTATGGGCTACCAGATAATGAACAGCAAAAGTTAATTAAGAAATTGTTAGGCATGCCAGAGAGACTAGAGAAAATATATAAACAATTATAAATGTATATATTTGTATATGGTTAGTTTTCGGATATAAAGAGAGAGAAAAACAATTTAACACATGCAAAACTCATGCAAATTGAAGTGCATTCGGCATGGGTTTTTTTTTTTTTGTTTTTTGTTGTTTTTTGTCGATTGTCGATAAGTCGATAACCGCAACGAATTCGCTGCGGCCGATGATTGGGCTAGAGAGTCGATACCAACACCACCATGAAAGACCGTTCACCCTGGCTGCTAGCGGTACTTACTTCGCTGGCACGTTCCAGCTCATGGTCCTCTCCAGCCGGGTCGGTGCCGGCGCCGCTCGTCTCATTGTCCGTGTCCAAGTGCTTGAAGTAGAAAATGGCGCAGTTCTTGGACTTGCGATTGGATCGATTGAACTTGGAGGTGTCATTATGACTGCGATGCATCTGCGACTTTCTCAGCACCGTCGGCGACTTGTTCAGGTCGTGGCTATGGCTGTGGCTGTGGCCGTGGCCGTGACCGTGGCCGTGGCCATTATGGCCATGCCCATTGCTGTGGTGTGTGTTCGGCGTAATCACCGCGACGGCAATGCTCTTCGCCTTGCCGTTGTGGCTGCTGTGGCATTGGGGCGGCAACATCTTGTTGCCGTGTCGCGTCTGCAGCAGCGACAAATTTGATAAATTTGGCGTCGAGCTGCTGCCGCTGCCGCTGCCGCCGCCGTTGGTGTTGCCGTTGGCGCTGGCGTTGCCGTTGCAGTTGATGCTGCTGCTGCTGTTGATGCTGTTGATGGCGTGCGACATATTTAGATGACCCGCCGTCAGCTGAGCCAGGCGCTGATTGAAGGAGATACCACTACAACAGGCGCCTCCGCCTCGCCTCAGCTGCTGCACTTGCTCCAGATCGCTGCTCTCGGAGTCGGCCTCAAAGTCGGTGAGCGTAGCCGCTCCAGCTGCCGAGTTGCCGCTGTGGTTGAGGTGGTTGTGGTGGTGGTTACCTTTGCCCGGTCGCCAGGCTCGCTTGGCAATCACAAAGTCAACAACGTCGGCGTCGTCGTCGTCTTCCTCGTCCGCCTCGTCACCAGGCTGCGTGCGGTTTCGGGTGTTTGTTTGTGTGTGTGTGTGGAACAGAGATTGGTTAGGCAAATGCATTGGCAAGCGTTAGAGTAAGGCTCAGGCAGACTCAGACTCACACATACACACACGCGCATGAACGATAAGTATATTTGCATGCTGCTGCAGTGCTGCCAACTCGGGCGGAGTTTTGTGACGGATTCGGGATTGTCTTAGACATTTTGGATTTAGGATCAGATTAGGTAGAACTAGCATTTCTACATAAAAGGGAAATTCAGGAATGGCAACTAAATTGATTCCTTTGCAATTCATTAAACTGAAACAAATTTGAAATAATGCGAATCGCCATATTTGCAACTTACAGTGTAAAATCCCTGATTCAGTACAGCACTGGTAAGCTGAGAAAGCTGCCAGCTTGAGTAGCAGAGGTTTACATTCATTTTCTAAAAGTATTTCTTGAGTTTTTTCCATTTGGGAGTTTGCACTTCGGAGTCCCCGAAAGTTCTTCAGGGCTGCCAAATTTATGCAAACATCTAAGATCCATCACTAATATCTTTTTTTCCATGCTTAATGCATCCTCATCACTTATACCATATCATCTTCAGCTTATTGGTACCTTAAACGCTGACATAACTGTTAGTCATTTATCGCAAAGGTCGAATCGTAAGGCTCGCCTCATTTGCAAGCTCAAGTTCTTGGCTGTTGGTTTACAATTTTGGAGTTAGGAATAATAGGTTGAGGGTTAGGTTTTTTAGGCTCGAAGTAAGTTGACAATACTGTAGAAGGCATGCACAACTAGGTATTCTAACTAGCAATAACGACATACACAACGACTACAAACGAACAAACATACTTGAGGAGGACAACGCGCAGCCTCTGCGCACAAATTTGGCATATATGCAAATGTATTTGGTTCTGCCTACCTTTTGGGTTGCGATACAATCGCGTGACTGATCCTCAGCTTGGACGCTGGCAACGACGATCTCTGTGGCAGTTAGCTGACAGCGCTGCAAGAGCTCCGTCGAGTTATGGCTGGGCGCACTCTCGCACTCCAAATCCAAATCGGAAACGGCCTCGTTCAGATCGTCCTCGGTGGCTGCGTCGCCGTCTTCGCCCTCGTAGCCGAACGAATCGTCTTCGGTGTCGTCGTCGTCATCCAAGCCGTTCTGCATGAGAAGCGAATAGAGAGGTTGAGGTAATGAGTACTGAGTGAAAGAGAAGAAGTTGCTAGAGTAGAGAGAAAGTTGGCTATGCCTACAGTGCTTTCTCATATAATCAGAGTTTACAGGGTATATGCGAGTTGGTAAACTCGCTCATTTTCTCTGCAATATGAATTTCAGTTTTTAATTGGCCAACTTGATTTGGATCTGAGGAAAGCATAAATATTGCTCAAGCAGCCGCTGGTCAGTCGCATTTTCACAATTTTCACACATTTCAAACACAATTTCCCATCACGTAACGCGATGACTGTTGCGGGTTTCCTTCTTCGCATATGTTATAATTGCTTTCAATTGCTGTGCCGTGGCTGGGGCCAAGTGCCAGACAAACAGACATAAAATATATGTATATAAAAAACAACAGAAAAGAAAGCACGACAAGCAGTTGCTGCCCAGACAGATGATAGATAATCCGAAAAAGTGAAAAAGAAAAGCAATAAGCAGGAGGCGGCTGAGGAAAAGCACACGTCATGTGGGTGGCTGTGGGAGGAGGCGGCGCGCACTCATCTAATGCGAGGGCGGGCCTTGAAGCCTCTTCAAAATTAACACGAAAAACACAAGTGCTCAACATTTGGGAAAGCAACCAAATAGTTGGCAGCTTAACCTCCGTTGACCTTGGCTACCCTTCGTAGCCCCAGCATCCAATTCCCCTTTACATTCATTCAGAACATCATCTGCTTTTGCAGCTCATAAAAACTAGAAAATTTCATTATTAGCCCATTGAAAACTGTAAAATCTTTAATGCCTAACATGTTTTCCCTCCCGATTTGCGTAATCTTCAGTGTAATTTGTGCCTCGGGGGCATCGGAATTCCATGTTAACGACGCCTGCTGAAGGTCATCAGCAAATAATTTGCTTCTATTAAGAGTCTGCTACATGGGCAAGCTTCGTACTTATAAAGATGAAAGAAAGGCTAACAATTCTAATACCCTATAGATTTGTAAAGATCAAATGAAGCTAGAGGGATTATATATAAGCAAAAGCTGTTTGTAATTCCCATCATAGGAAAGCAGTTCTGCCATGCTAAGATCGTCTCACTTAGCTCCGAACAAACTCTCTCCGAATTTAGTAGGTGTGAGAGGGAATTTAACTATCTAAAAAACTGCTCTTAGGTTGCTTAAGCTACTTTTTGTATACTTATGACGTACTCTACCCATGCCCTTCTCTACATTTCCAGGGTATCTAGACATGATTTATGGAGTATTTGGCAGCTTTTCAAACACTTGTGCGAGGCGCCTTTAGATTAGATTGTTTACATTGCAGAAGACATCAACAGATCTTTAGCCCAGCGAGTTTACCTTTGAACACGCAGCAGCAGGTGTAATTGGGCCAGACAAACAAAGTGAAGGCAAACGCCAATGGACACTACAAATCAATTTTTTGATAAACAAATCGAAATCAACTCAGCTGAATGGGCTTAGCACCCGCATTTAGATCTCTTGATTAACTAAAGTAAATCCAATCTGTTCAGCTAAACATATTCATATTCAAGTCAATCCAATAAAATCGAATGACAAGCCAAAGAAAGCCATTAAACCTTTTTTTCTTAACTTATTCCAGCTCAACTTCTCTTTGGCTGCCTTCGCCCACAGCTCAGATAGGTTAACTCTGTCGGGCCTACAATTTATGAACTTATTATGCAAAATGCATTTACACACACACACACAGAGAGAGATCCCATCAAAAATGTGGCAACGCCTTCCCCTTGTTGTTGCTTTGTCTGGCGGTTGTTTCCTTTGTTGCCTTCGACTGCCTTCGCCTGGTTCTTTTGCTTTAGCTGGAAATTAAGTTCAAGTTTATCGCAACGCACTTCACGCGAAACGAATGCGGCAGACGGGCGACGGCCATAGAGGGGCGTGGCTGTGTAGTTGGACACGTGACGTGAAATGTTGTTGTAGTTGTAGCTAGCTGTTGTTGCCGTTGTTGTTGTTGTTGTTGTTGTTGTTGTATGTTGCCAGCTTAGCACCTCATTTGCCCCGAGCTGAGCTGAGCTTCGCTCTGTGCTAAAACTATCATTAGGACGCGAGATAAACATCGGCCACGTACAGTGAAACCACACTAACAGCAACACGCAATCTTTCGTTCTGTCACAATTCTCATGTCATTTTCTCCTCCTCTCTCTCTCTATCTCTGTTTCTTTTTCCAAAGAACTTTAGTTGCTTTTGTAATGCTTTTTTTACCAACACGAAAAACAACTCGAAATGCGATTGCTCGATAAGTTTTTTGTGTTTCTCTGTACTTAAAATATGTGTGGGAAATTTTGTTTGGCTACTGTTTTTTATTCTCTTGCCCTCTTTCCCTCCCTCTCTTTCTCTCTCTCCCTCTCTCTCTATCTTCATTTGAAATTATGAATTTCCCACACGCCAACATTTAATTATCACTAAACGCTTTCATGTCATCGATGTGGAGCTTAAGTCTATTAACATATTACGTTCGTTCGCTCGCAGGGGGCGTGTAATTGTCGTGCAATCAGGCAACGAGAAGAAAACAAAAACGTGAGCTGCAACTGGAAATTGTTGTTAGTGTAATGCATGCCCATACATCTATCTACAAAGCAAACAAACATTGGAAATTACATATACATACATAGCTGACAGCTCAGTTAAGAGCCACTTGATCAATTGCTTTGTCACTTTGTACACTTAGGAAAATTAGATACATAGAAGTATACAGTAGCAACTCTTTAGCCAGCTTGGAGTTCATATGACTGATATGGCAATTGCTTGTGTGTACTTAAGATATTTGGAATATCATAGAGATCCAATAGGTATTATATGCCTTCTTCTTCATTTAATAAACTGTTCATCTAAACCAAATTTCGTCATGTTTCCTCAAGAAGAAGAAGCAGAGTTCACGTAGATAGTTTTGTATTAAGGAGTAGGAAACAGTGCCTTTTATTTTCAGTGTACTATTTATTAATAGAATTTTATTACAAATGCAAAGCGATTCACAGTCTTTAAAAGTTTGCATTGTCTAATAGAAGTGAGAAATGTAAACAAACGAGTATTGTAGATCGAAAGACAAACGTGACTAAACTAAGCTTAAATCTCTATATATATACTATTTCTATAGAGCTATAAATCTCTTAAGATCTATTCAATAATAAAGAAATTAGCTTGCATTTGCAATGCATTTAACAGCAACATCAATGCAAATATATTGCAGACAGAGGCAGCAACAGCAACAAGCGCCATGACAGCAGCAACAGCTAAAGCGTTGACAACCCGCAGCTACATGAAAACTTCCAAGTCATATGAAAGCAGCAGCAGCAGCAACAACAACAACAACTTGCAACATGCGCAGCTTTTTGCCACACAAACGCAGTGCAAAAGTAAGCGATGACAACAGCAGCACCCGCTGCAGCAACAATATTATTACCAGCATTGCTGCTGCAGCTGTTGTTGTTGTTGCTGCTGTTGCTGTTAAAGAAAATATTTCCTGGTGCCGCAGCAGCAGCAACAGCAACAGCAAGATCAATGTTCACAATTTAGCGCAACTATTACAAATCGCATTAGACGCTAAATTTAGCCAAGTTGCGCCGTAGCTCACAGCAGCAACAGTTGCTAGAATGACGACAATATTTGAGCACAGACTTAGACTCCCTGAGAGGGCTATGGCTTTCGAGTGACCCTAATAGGCTGACAGCGGCTGCACAGCTGCACAGCAACATGTTGCCGCAACACGTGCGTGAGTGGGCGTGTTGCCGGCCCACGCATGGCGCATAATTTGCAGGTTGTTGCTGTTGCAATTGCTGTTGTTGAATCTAGGGTGTTGGTATGATGAATGGCAATGCAGAATGGCTGTAGGCCAATACAGGCTGACAATTCGCAGTCAATAAAAAAGATAACTAGACAACGCCAGACAGAGAGAGGGCGAGGGTGGCAGAGATAGGCAGTTAGACAGTTGAACAATGCAAACAAAGGCCGCTTTTTGACATTTGCCAAATGTCAATATGCCATAAATGCAGCACGGGAAATATCATTGCAGGAAATCGCAGAGAAAATATGGCAGCTGCGGGTGGCGCACAATTAAATACCCTAACTAGCACATGGTATCTGGTGTCTGACCAGACACTAAATACTAGACTCTAAATGATAAGGCGTAAAACTAGGGTATTACTGCTTTAGTACTAGATACTATAAAGCATACCAAATACTAGACATGAGATCCATAGATAACAGATAGTAGCAGTAACAGACTGAAGACTAAAGAGCCAAAGTATAAGAACTTAGGCTAAGATACTGTATACTAGATAAATAATAAAACATATTTATTTATAAATTTATGATGGTAAATGTTCCAGTAAATAGGTATATAAGTATTCATGTAATGTCAACGTCTTTAAGAACTTCATAATGCCCATTTGCAGCTAGGGCATAGCTGAGCTTGTTGCAATCGAAGATGTCTCTGTCTCAGCCATTGTTTTTGTGCCCTGTTGCATTAGCCGCTGATTTATGTGTCTGTCTCAATGTGTCTGTCTCAATGTGTCTGTGTGTGTGTGTGTGTGTGTGTGGGTTAGTCTGACGCGTTGACAACATCAAACACAGCAGCAACATGTTGCTGGTTGTCTGTGTTGCTGCTGCTGCTGCTGCTCCCATTGCTATGTGGCGGCATTTAGTTGTTTACATTTGGCTTCTTCCCTTCTCAGCTCCCCAACTCTCCAGCTCCTCTGTTGCTTTCTGCATTGTAATTTCCCCATTGATTACATTGCGGCCACATCTCGTTTGACTTGTGCTCGTCTTTTTCCGTTCCATTCGCTTCGACTCGATTCAATTCGATTATAGGAATTGGAAGTCGTCGTCGTCTGTTTACCAGCTGCTGCCACAATGAAGCAATTTGGCCATGTTGCTGATGTGGCTGTGGCTTTTACTCTTGTTGTTATTATTCTGAGCTATTTCTTACTTTTTTATTGCCATCATCCGTTGGCCGGCTCTATTCAGGGAGCTCCC